CGTCTTCCCTCTCCAACAGGGTCACCCAGGCCTGATCGGACTCATCGGACCTCCTGGGGAACAGGGTGAAAAGGGAGACCGCGGCCTTCCTGGCCCCCAGGGCTCGTCTGGCCCCAAGGGAGAGCAGGTGCGTGAGATGGGGCTCCCCAGGCATCTTCCTGCCCATCAGCTGCTGGGAGCACCTTGGAGTTCAAAGGACAGAGGCTCATTAGGGCCTGGAGGGACATCCTCGAGTCTACCACATCCTGCCGTCCCACTCTGTAGGTGGGAGTGGTTGAGACGGCCAGCTGCGGTGACTCGCAGGCAGGGGCTCCTTGTCACTGCCACTGTGGCCCTCGGGGCTCAGCCTCACGGGCGATGTTCAGGCCCATCCAGGGCAGACGCAGCTGCCTCGGCCTGGGGGAGGGTGAGCCTGGAGGGAGCCGAGCCTGGCAGCCCCCCTGGGTCCTGTGCTTCCTGCAGCTCTCCTCACCTGGGGGTGATCACCTGCCTTTTCTGCTCCTTTTCAGGGTATCACTGGTCCTTCTGGCCCGATCGGGCCTCCCGGGCCCCCAGGCTTGCCGGTGTGTATTCTGGAGGGATGAGGGGGATGGGGCGCCTATGGCTGGAGACCTTCAGCAAAGTCGCTGGGGTCCAGAATAAGCCCAGGTGGATTTGCTGTAACCTGAGGTTGAGGTTCCAAGTGGCAGAAAGGAAGTTGTTGGGCCTAGTTGGGGGGATAGGAGACAAGGAGGGGACCCCTTCATCCCTGGGCATTCTAGGAGGCAACTAGGCCCCCGGTGTCTGCGAGGGTGAGGAGACTAGTGCTCTGCAGCTGTCCCAGAGCACGAGCGGGGCTCACCCGGCCCAGGCTGAGGCATGGGGACCGTCCCCCAGGCACCAGCTTAGAGCCTCGCGGTGGTGCAGGGACACCCCTTAGCCCCAAGTCTTTGCTTGCCCCAGTCCCGGCTGCATGACTGACTCGGGTCCTCACAGCTGCACCGCTGTACGGAGGGGCTGGCAGAGTGCGCCGCAGGCCCTCCTGAGGCTGAGACACCCTCCTTGCCCTCGCCCTCGGTGGTGGCTGCCTGAGTTGTCACTTTCCAGCTGGGGCCGGGGACTGGTAGGCAGACTCAGGCCAGGTGGGCCAGCAGCAGACATACGTAGAGCTCTGGGTAGGATGTGGGCGTGGGAGGGGCTGGCTTGGGTGGCCTCTGCACTGACGCCCTGCCCTCCTCTCTGCAGGGGCCTCCGGGTCCAAAAGGTGCCAAGGGCTCCTCGGTAAGTGGGTGACACGCTGCCTGCCCAGCCCTGCAGCTGGGAGGGACCACAGGGTGTGTGTGGGGGGAGGAACAGACTCAGATGGGACCCACTGGGACACCCGTGGCGGGTGTTTTTCTCTCCTGTCTCGGAACTGTCACAGCGCTGGGCTCTCGCTTTTGCCTTATGAGTGGTCCTGCCCTGGGTTCTGCCCTGAGGCCATCCCCAGCCCCGCCTGTCCTTGGGCTAGGGGGGCCACCTCCTCCTCTTGGCTTTGGGGATGATTCTAGAGCTGTGTGTGGGCATAAGGTCACCTTGGGCCGCTATGACCGAGGGCCAATGCTCTTTTTCTAGGGTCCAACTGGCCCGAAGGGTGAGGCAGGCCATCCGGGCCCCCCTGGCCCACCGGTAAGTTGCCTTTGCAGACCAGGGAGAGGGCGGGATCCAGCTAGCTCAAGGGAGCCCAGGGCAGCACTTGCTTGTGGGGTCCATTTCCAGAGCTTGGTGGAACTGTGCAGCTTGCCCGGGGCTCCTCCCTGGGACGCAGCAGGGAAACAGGGACACGGGCCTGTCTGCAGGTCATGGGAGGGCACAGGTCGACTCTCCCTGGGAAGATCAGGAGGCTAGGAGAGAGAACACCCACGTGTGTGTGCTCACCTGTGTGTGCATGTGGGGGTGTGTGCTCACCTGTGTGTGTGTGATGTTTACATGTGTGGGTATGTATGCTCACCTGTGTGCACATGAGGTTTACATGTGTAGGGGGGGGTGCTTGCCTGTGTGCACATGAGGTTTACATGTGTGTTGTGTGGTTGCCTGTGTGCATGTGAGGTTTACATGTGTGGGGTATGTGTGCTCACCTGTGTGCACATGAGGTTTACATGTGTAGGGGGGGGTGCTTGCCTGTGTGCACATGAGGTTTACATGTGTGTTGTGTGGTTGCCTGTGTGCATGTGAGGTTTACATGTGTGGGGTATGTGTGCTCACCTGTGTGCACATGAGGTTTACATGTGTAGGGGGGGGTGCTTGCCTGTGTGCACATGAGGTTTACATGTGTGTTGTGTGGTTGCCTGTGTGCATGTGAGGTTTACATGTGTGTGTGGGTGTGTGCTCACCTCTGTGTGTGTGAGGTTTACATGTATGTGGGTGTGTGTGCTCATCTGTGTGTGAGGCTTACATATGTGGGGGGGTGTGAGTGTTCACCTGTGTGTGTATGAGATTTATGTGTATGTGAGGGTGTGTGTGCTTATCTGTGTGCGTGAGGTTTACATGTGTGGGTGGGTGTGCTTGCCTGTGTGCATGTGAGGTTCACATGTATGTGGGTGTGTGTGCTCATCTGTGTGTGAGGCTTACATGTGTGTGGGGGTGGGGGTGCTCGCCTGTGTATGAGATTTACATGTGTGTGAGGGTGTGTGCTCATCTGTGTGCATGAGGTTTACATGTGTGTGGGTGTGTGCTTGCCTGCATGCATGTGTGTGTATTTGCATGTGGGGACAGGGAGCACCAGAGAAGGCTCTGAGCTGCAGGGGGACTCTTGTGAACTGGGACACTGCTTGCCCCACTGGGCCTCCAGGACGTGCATGGCTCTGGGTGTCAGCAACATCCTGAAGCCCCACTGTGTGCCACCCCGCTGTGGGTACTGAGGCAAGAGAGGCGAGGTGGTCACTTTCCCCCAGGTGCGGCCTTTCGTCCAGCTGAGAACAGAGGCAGACTCCGTGTGGGGCAGCAGCTTTGGAATGTTGGCTCTGGAGAGGGAGGCGGGTGGCCTAGGGTAGTCAGGACATGGCTTCCGTGTAGGGGAGACCTGGCAGGGCATGAGTGAAGTGCTCCGCAGGGAGGGGAGGGGAGTGCTGAGATGGACAGATGTGGGTGGGCCCAGGGTGTCGGACCGGGGCAGACGAGCAGGCACCACCCTCGCCTGGCCCTGATCTGTCCCGTCCTCTCCACTCTCCCCCCGTTGCCCCTCCTACTCCCCAGGGCCCCCCAGGTGAGGTTATCCAGCCCCTGCCGATCCAGGCGTCCCGCACTCGGCGGAACATCGACGCCAGCCAGCTGCTGGACGACGGGAACGGGGACAGCTATGTGGACTACGCGGACGGCATGGAGGAGATCTTTGGCTCGCTCAACTCCCTGAAACTGGAGATCGAGCAGATGAAGCGGCCACTGGGCACGCAGCAGAACCCCGCGCGCACCTGCAAGGACCTGCAGCTCTGCCACCCCGACTTCCCTGATGGTGAGGGCCAGCGGGGGCCGGACTGGGCACGGCCTGGGTAGCGTAGCCCAGGCTGCAGGGCGGAACGGCCGGGGTCCTCGCCCTGTTCTGGCCATTTTCTGGCAGCCACTTGTTTCCCCAAGGCTCATGTGCCCAGTCTTGAAGGTGGGGATGACGCCTCCCGTGAGCAGACAGGGTTCAGTGCGCTGCTGCAGGGAAGGCCCTTGGCCCGGCGCGTGGCAAGGCCTGAGGCCAGGATTAGTGCTGGGCTCCTTGCCAGATGCCGTGCTTGGGCCAGTGTCGTCGGGCTCCGACATCACAGGAACACACGCCACTCTCCCCACCGCCTTCAGTCAGGGACCCCGTGAGCAGGACACTCATGTGAGCTTCTGACTCTCTGGGAAGTGGACCCGTCTCCTGTGGGACCACAGGGACGTCCGCCAGCCTGGGGGGCTCTCGTCCCACAGACATGGATTCTCTAAGTCCATTCTGGAATATTCCCTGCATTTCTGCCCACCCACGGAGTCCTCCCGGGGCCTCTGGAACACGCACCCAATGTGCTTCACGCACAGCTGTGGTCGGAGTGATGTCATCGGGCCTCGTCTCTCCAGGAGCCCAGCAGGAAAGGCAGAAGGCAGTGGAACACCGGGAACAATGGAGCCCTGTGGTGGCAGGGTCATGGCCCCTGCTGCCTGCGGACTGCCTGGCCGGAAGGTCACAGTGGCTCCAGGAGCATCCAGGGGGCAGTTCTTGTGAACCGGCCCCCCTCCCTGTCTCCGAAATCCAGGTGAATATTGGGTCGATCCGAACCAAGGATGCTCCAGGGATTCCTTCAAAGTCTACTGCAACTTCACAGCTGGGGGCTCCACCTGCGTCTTCCCTGACAAGAAGTCAGAGGGGGTGAGTACCACCTCACTCGTCCTCGGGGCCCTCCACGTTGCAACAGGGCCAGGCTCAGCTGTTGCCTATAGACAGCTTTGCAGAGGGCAGGCTCAGCTGTTGCCTGTGTAGACAGCTTTGCAGAGGGCCAGGCTCAGCTGTTGCCTGTGTAGACGGCTTTGCAGAGGGCCAGGCTCAGCTGTTGCCTGTGTAGACGGCTTTGCAGAGGGCCAGGCTCAGCTGTTGCCTGTAGACGGCTTTGCAGAGAGCAGGCTCAGCTGTTGCCTGTGTAGACCGCTTTGCAGAGGGCCAGGCTCAGCTGTTGCCTGTGTAGACGGCTTTGCAGAGGGCCAGGCTCAGCTGTGGCCTGTGTGGACGGCTTGGGAGAGGGCGGGGCGCAGCG